AAAGCGAGTGACAAAAAGTGCGAACACACAGACACACAGATAGCCTCTTCCCAATATGCGTTTTTGCAATTTGCACACATGCAGAAACGCATAAAAACATAAGTCAGTGGCATAATTTGTGATTAATTATTGTCTTAATAATTAAGTAAAATCCGGAACATTTCTGACCTCCCAAGCCAATAACACCTTCTAGGATAGCTATTGTTTGTGAGCAAATTTTCGATGAATAGCTGCTCACTGAATCAGATGCATAAGCAAAGCACGACGAAAAAATAGACATATAGCCACCGAAAATCGCAAAAATTGCTTCGCTGCCAACTGCCCAGTAGACTGAGACCTGAAGCTAGTGTTAACTCAGACGTATGCAACAAGCTACTTAACTCGAATTTTACGTTTTTATTTGTGAAAGCATTTAGAGATGAGTGTTGACAAGTAGAAGGGTACAACTGTGTTTTTGCAACAAGCTGCTACGGGCATCGCGAAACTGCCAGACCCTGTGCTCCGTGTGGGAAGTGTTTGCTTTTTATTAGAATGAACGTATCACTTAAAAAAATATCGTGATTTTAATTTGTTGGTTGCTCTTCCTTTCAGGACTCCGAGCTTGAAGCTATAAGCTTGACCTGTATTCAAGCTCGGATCACTGGACCGAACCAGCGGCGAAATCGTTTAGTTCGCTGCTACTCCAAAACTTGATACAACTAGGATCTATGATTGGAACCGTAGAAAATAATTGATAAGAACAATTAAAATGGCAAACTTCCATAAAATATGACTGCATGAATAATGCTATATCCGAAAGAATAAGACCCAAAAATGGAATAATCAAAGCTGCTTTTCGCGACGAAGTATCACCAAATCGCCCAACTGCTGCCGAAGAAACTGCACCCAGTAGACACATTGCAATGCTACTGCAAGATTATCAGTAATCGGCTTGCTGGAGAGAAGGCCAAGTTAAGTGAACATGGAGGAATGAAACAGCTACTCTCGAAAAATGTACTGCTTCAATAGATATTTTAAAAAAAGCTCAGAAAAATGATAGACTAGAAAAAGTGATTTAACGCTAAAAAAAGGCAGGAATGATAAAAAATAGTAACCTTAACAAAAGTACCCAATTAGCTTTTGCCTGAAGTTCTGGATCTGATGAAGTACTCTTCCGGTCTTTACAACTGAGCGTTTTATCACCGTACTGCTCACAGACCTGAAACATGTGAATCGTGTAATACTTTACCCAGCCGTTACAGCTTCAGCTTTTACTTGATAACATCGGGCCTAAATGCTGGATAATTTAGGACGCACTGTTAGGGAGAAAGGCGAGAAGTCGCTTTCATAAAAAGTAGCACATTCAGAAAAATCTTGGAATGACCGGCACAGAAAACATGGGGTTAGGAATTGTTATTTTTATCAATTTTATACAGTAAAGTTTTGTATAATACAGATCACTACTAGTGTGACTGAAACGCTGAAATTTTTTAGAAACATGAAAAATTTCTCGACAACAGGATAACTAAACGTGGTCTAGAAGTGGTATAATTTAACGCTACAACCCTGTACGGGAAGTAGCCCAAACGGTAGCAGTTGCTAACAGTAACCACCCTCTGGCGAAACTGTCGATGGCGCTGTCTTCTGAGGATCGCTTACGAGCAAGCTGTTCCAATAAATCCGAACAAATTGCAGCATTTCCGATAAATTTGGAACAGCTAAATCAGTATTACTGAATCTTTTTGGCATATATTTTGTGCCGATAATTTTTTTAAGGCATTTGCTAGATGCTTTTTTTTGGAAAACTGCTGAAAGCACTCTCCCAACTTGCCCTCGCCCTTCGGACACAATCTCACCGACAAAATCTCAAGTAATGCGATAAGAGTTGTGAGGCAGTGAGTATGAAATATGTTCTACTTCACGGTCTGTAGCTAAATATCAATAAATTTTGCAACACTATGTGTGCCTTATTTTCTGTAAAGAACATTTAATCAGTGCTCACTGATAACACTCAAGACCTGATAGCGCTATCAAAATGAGCATCCTTTCCGCTACTGTTCGGGAAAAGTCTTCGATTTTTGTAAAACTTTTTGCTACATTTAGCGTTCGTTTTTTTGTAGCTTTTTTTTGTCCAAGATTTATAACGGTAAAATGAAATAAGACTTGAAATCATACAAGAGTGTGCAAAGTGATTTGGAAAGATTGCAAAACAGCAACTTTTTGGCGAGATTTTTCCAAAATTTCAGTTTCCTAGCATATCTGGAGCTTCGGCTGAATTATGCAGGTATTTCGTGCTCCATTGCGGATTTTCTGTTTAATGGTTTTGAACATGGTTATTTAATGACATGATTGTCAGATACATCATTTCAGAGTATAATTTCAGTGGTAAACTGGTAGCCATTTCAAGTATTCTAGAAGCGTAGCAATCGATTCCTGGCTTGGCTTAAAATAATGTTTTAGCTTAGTAACTGCGGTGTACTTTGATTTGATAATCACGGTACTTTAAAGATGAGTGAATGCACTTGAAATGATGTTCTCGCTTCCTTTGCAGTGCTTGTGAATAACAGTGGGCTCGTTCTGTTAGCTATAAATTAGTCTCGAAGTTTATATCTTAACACCTGAAATTATATACCAAACACTACTTGCCAAAAAACTAACCTTTTGGTATACAAATGACTGAAAAACTGGATAGTACATGAAAGCTGTGATAGAATAGAGGCAAAGCGGTACGGAGATGCGAATGCTCCGCAAAAACAAAAATTTTGCTCCATAATCCGTACTAATATTCCTTTCGGCGGGCAACGTTCCTCCAATCATTGGTACTTAAAACACTAAAAAGAAACCTGTAACTAAAGATCACTTGAACTTGATTAATCACGATAATATAGCAATTTTTTAAGAGGGTAAAATGGTCGAAGCAAAGAAAATGATTTTTGTAAAATTATGCTCAAATTTTATGTGGGATGAATCATGTGAGTGCCATTGTGACCCCGAACGGCTTTGTACACCAAGTTGAGTTCAAATGTGAACTAAATCGAAAAACTAGAAAAAATAATTCTGAGAAATTGTCAGCGCATTTGTCAAAATTTATGTGAATTGAGAGAACTTTAACGAATCCAACAGCAATGAAATCCTGGAACAAATTGGGAAGGCATGTGGGAATCCTGCGCTGAACAAAAGAGAAACATGTGGAGGCTCTTATGGGTTGAGCGCACTGTGTACAGTTGACCCTCCGTGACGCTTCCTGCAATGCGTCGCGGAAAGCCCCCAGAGGTCAAACATTCTTAAGTAGCGGGAATTTGAAAAGAACAATTTATATTTTTGACAAAAAAAGGCTTCTCTCCTATCAGTTTCCGAAGCATGCGTTGTGCTGGTCCGATGCACTGCTGGAATTACCGGTTCATGTATCTTTTACGCCTGTGTGTGTGTGTGTGTG